TGAAAGAGAAAGAGATGAAAGAGAAAGAACTCATGGAATCTGGCGACATTGCATATGCAGCAGAGAAAAGCAAAAGTGAATCCACTCACGCCGCTTTACTGGAGATTGTGGGACAAGCAGAGAAAGCCTGTAATCAAGGAGGAGAAAATGATCAGTCCTGAGTGTTTCAGAAGATGACAGACAGACTGAAAGAAAGGGGATGCTCTGGGAAGAGGTAACTGTTAAGCACCCGGGTTTAGCTCGTGGTAACTCACTGATGACCTTCTCAGAGGTGCTGAAAAGAGCGAGCTCTCCCTCCTCGGGTTAGCCTGTCACTCGTGTGTGTTACTGTGGACCATTTAGGGGCTCAGACCCCAGACACCCTGGGGTTGGGCTTGGCTCCCTACTCACTGGCTGGGTGGTCTTTTAACCTCCGTGCCCCAATTTCCTCGCTTGTTAAATGGGCACTGTAAGCTTTCTTCAAAAATCTTCGAGAATTAACTAAAGTCATACAGGCGATGTGTTTACAACGCTGCTTGGTACATAGTAATTGTTCAGCCAATATTTTCTCTTATTTTACTCTGATGACAGCTATAACTATTACTGCTGCTACCACCACTGCCACCTGAAACAAATCAACAGCAAATCTGGGGGCATATGTTAAGGATGTAAACAAGGTAAAATGTTCCAAAATGTTGGAGTCTTTCTAACTTAGCACCGTCCAGGATAGCCCTGACTTCCACAGCAGTCTGGGAATCCCCAAAAGTCCTCCAGGATTATTCTGCCCCAAGGTACCCTGTCTGAGGAAATCTGCTTCAGTTTCCGGCTAGTTTGTCAATGTTTTCACCTATTCACAGATATCCCGGGCAAAGATTCCTCTTATTTACTGGGATATAAAATTTGGTGTGGATATAAATAGCTTTTCTTCGTTCCTCAAACCAGCTCCCTAGTCTTTGATAAATTATGACAGGCAACCCTAAAAAGGAACAATCATTCCAAAAGAATGAGGAAGTGTTTAACAAGAATAAAGGAAAGAACACCAGATAAAAGTTCAGACTACTTTTGGTTTAGTGTGTGTCTTAAGCTCTCTGACATTGTTTCCTGCCTTATAAAATGGCAATTATATCCATTCCCTCAACTTTACAACACAGGCATGCAGGTCAAGTGAGAAAATGAAAAATAAAACACACACTATAGAGAACAGACTTGTGGTTGCCGAGCGGGAGATGGGGGAGGGTAAGGGATGGACTGGGAATTTGGGATGAGCAGATGCAACCTATCACATACAGAATGGACAAACAATGTGGTCCTACTGTATAGCACAGGGAACTATATTCGGTATCCTGAGATAAACCATAATGGAAAAGAATATTAAAAAATGTATATATATGTATAACTGAATCACTTTGCCATGTGGCAGAAATTAACACACATGATAAATCAACTACAATTTAAAAAAAATAAAAAATAAAAGCATGTTATGTATATATGCAAAATACTTTATAAGATATTCATGATACCACTTTATTGACCCTCATTACTCTCAAAGGATAAAAGAGACCTACAAGATTCTCCAGATATGCAGAGTATCACTTATAACATAGAATTTTCTTCAGTTTTATCACTTTTATCATTACTTCTACTGCTTCTCAGAGTCATTCTGAGGATTACCCCAGATCATGTTTTCAATGGAAACATGATTCAGTCTGAGGTCATAACACTAATATTCACTGGGTTCTTACTATGTGCCAGGCACTGTGCTCAGAACTTTACATGCATAATCTTATTCAGTTTCTTAAAACAACCCAATAAAGAAACTAGGTTGTCCCTGTTCTGCTCATGAGAAAACTAAAATTTAAAGAATTTAAAGAACTCACACACGGTCTCCCAATCAGGGTCAATGCTGGGATTTGAACTCAGGTCTGCAACCCTCAGCCATATTGTCAGGGCTTCACTAGCTGGCTGACTCACTCTCTCCCGAATACCAGCCTCACAGGTCCCATGACGCCAACATGGACATACAGAGAGGTTCTCAAATAGGCCCATCGACAGTGTATCTGTGAATGCTAAGAATCTATGAAATCTCATATAAACAACTATTTAAGTATTCTTCAAAAATAATTCATACTTTCAATCCCTACTTTCTATAGTAGCAATAATGTTTGCATCATCTTCATCTAGGAATCAGGTTATATGACACACACATGCTATGTTACCACATATATTAAAATATCCTATACTCGTTTTTGGGACCCATATATAACATCCAAGTATACATCTTTAGGGGAAATGTATCCTAATGACACTAGAAGAATTGCATTTTTCTTGAAACACACTTTGCATTCAAAGTCAGAAAAGATACAGGAGAAGTTGCGTAAGTTAGAAGAAACAGCACACGATAAGATCAGTGTGGGCTCACCAGTCCCAGCTCCACCAGTTATAAGCTTTGTCACTAGACAAAGTTAATCACATGTTCAAGTTTCCATTTCTCCATCTATAAAACAAGAATACTAGTGCATACCTACTACACTGTCATAAAGTTTAACTTTAATGGTATGGAATGTGTAAGGCTCCTAGACCAGTACTCAGTAACAGTTTCTTCTTTTCTAGGCCAGTAAGAGATAATAATGGCTCATAAAAGAGGTCATGAGGGAACAGTTTCACTGAAATCATAGATAACCTGTCCTCTAACTAAAACTATTTAGAACACTCATGGCCGGCCACACCCACAAATAGAAGAAAAAGACTGGAAGAGTATTTCCCAAAAGAAATCACTGGAAGATGTAATTGTTGTGACAGTCGAAGACAACTTAGCACAAGGGGAGTAGCTGGACCAGATGTACAGACAAAAACAGCAAACAAACACAAACACAAACACTAGGGGGTAGAAATGAAAGACTACTTCTCTTCCTTACTTTCAATTGCCCCCAGAGACTGGGACCTCATCCTTCAAAGAAGCAGTTTCGGGTAGTGGTTAGAAGTACCAATTACAGAATCAGATGGACCTAGGTCCAAAGTATAGTCCTTTCACTCGTCAATTGACCGGGTAAGTTTCTTAACCTCTCTAATCATCAGTTTCGTCTTGGAAATAATAATGATAAGCTCATAAAATATATATACTTCACAAGGTGGTATGGGATGAAATGAAATTCATACATAAATTTTATAGTACATAATAAGTGATCAGTAAAGAAGCAATTATAGCTTAATGACAATAACAATAATATTATATTAATAATAGTAAGTAACATGGGAAGGTTTGCTGCCTGAATGATATTCAGACCTAAGGTCCTAGGGATTGAGCCAATGTAAAAAAACTCAAAGAGCACCTTCCTGGGCGTGACCAGCTTGCCACTGGTTTACTCCTGTACTCATTTACACATTCCCCAGCCTGGCCAGGAGCCTTCAACAGTTGAAGCCACTCCTAGCAGGTGTGAGGGGTGGAGGGCCCAGCTCAGCTTCAGACCCACCCCTTAGTTGATGCTGAGGATTTGGGTCAAGTGTTGGAAAACACCTAAACCCCATTGATGCCAACCACGTGATTTATTTTCGGAAGCCCCACAGGAGCTCTGCCCGCGGGGCACTGAGTCCCTTGGTGATTTGGGGGTTGACACCCAGTGTCGGTACCTAAAGAGCCCTTCCTGCGCCCCACGCTTCATGGCTCCCCTGCCACACCCTTGCAACAGGATTTCTCGCTATACTGCTGTGTCTATTACTTTTATATTTCTGCCTTTGCTTGGGTTAAAATTCCCGACTCCTTGCTTTTCAAGTGTGTTCTATGTTGTCCAACTTTGTTTTCTTGGCCACACCGTGTGGCTTGCGGAATCTTAGTTCCCTGACCACGGATCAAACCCAGGCCCCCCGGTGGAAGCACAGAGTCCTAACCACGGAATCGCCAGGGAAGTCCCTATGTTGTTCAACTTTAAAAGATCAGTACGGGGACTTCCCTGGTGGCGCAGTGGTTAAGAATCCTCCTGTCAATGCAGGGGACATATGTTCGAGCCCTGGTCCGGGAAGATCCCACATGCCACGGAGCAACTAAGCCCGTGTGCCACAACTACTGGGCCTGCGCTCTAGAGCCCGTGAGCCACAACTACTGAGCCCACGTGCCACAATTACTGAAGCCCATGCACCTAGAGCCTGTGCTCTGCAACAAGAGAAGCCACCGCAATGAGAAGCCCGCACACCGCAACGAAGAGGAGCCCCCGCTCGCTGCAACTAGAGAAAGCCTGAGCGCAGCAACGAAGACCCAATGCAGCCAAAAAAAAAAAAAACAAAAACGAAAGATTAGTATGAAAGAAAAATTTAACTTATGAAAGAAAACAAAGAGATCCCAGATGACAAGAACCAGATCTGAAGATTTAAAAGGAAAAATATATGAGGATCAGAAATTACATGTTCTCATTACCTTTACATGGATCATTACAGTCATTAGTTAAACTGAGTTCAATCCATATTAAACCTTGATTTATTTAAAATATTTGTGTTATTATTTGAATTACTTACCCCTCCCCTCACCAAGGTAATAGAATTTACCAACATAGCAAATTATTTAAAATCTAAGCAAAGGAACCAATTTGCTTAAAAATCTCAGTTGGTTAATGCTCAAAGGACTCCTTAGAGCTACAAAATAATGCAATATAAACATTTTAACAGACATTACTTTCAGTTTTACACAAAAGAAAAAATTCTATATTAGAACCTTACAGTTATGATTTCTGTAAATTAACTGTGAAAACTTCGTGCAGTTCTGTGTACAGAGGAATTAGTACAACAATTACTACTCAGAGTATCAGAGATTCATGCTAGCTCTTAGGAACACATGTCAGTAAAAAATGACCTGATAAAAAAATATAGAAGATACCATAATAGGAACACATTTATATAAACAGTGATTATTACCTCTCCTTAATCTCCCATTATGTACCTGTGTGCTACACTAACATCCTTACCCAGAGTACATGAGAAAATCTCTTTGAAAGCATCCCAGGGGTTCCCTGCTAAAGAATTCTGTTACTTACCATCCTTTGATTTTTTGGTAAAGATGACGTTTCCTGTACAAGAGAACTTTCACGGGAACCCAAATCAAAAGAGTCACTGAAGATACATAGGCGATGGAACAGGAAACAATCAGCCAATAATGCGCTTTGCCAGGTGTACCCCTTGTGCTTTGATAGGCATCGGCAAACTGTTCCATTATCACCAGCGTGGGGACAGAGAAGGCAGCAAGCTCAAGGAGCTCAAAGAACAGCAGCTTCACCAGTCTCCTCGAAGCCATCCTGGAAGGGCGAGCACCTGGGGACCAGACGCTCCCACTCTGACCGGGAGCGGCATATGGACACACAGACACTGAACTGGGATCAAGTTCCTTGTACTCGAATCACTAACCAGTGACTTTTTATTCTTTTATTGACCCTCATATGGTTCAGTGATCTTCCAACTTAACAACCGAGGTCTCTTAAAGAAACAGAGCAGTTGTGGAAGTGATCACTTAATGTGTTTCCACATCCATTACTACAAGTCAAATGAATTTCAGAATATGCTTTGGAGCATCGGTAAAAGCGGGGTCTTTTAATGTAGTCTTTATTGTGAATTTGAGCACAAAAAAACATTTATGTAATATTTAACACTTGTTAAGTAGAACCATTGCAATAATATAATTTTAGAGTTAAAGGGGAAGAAGAGACATAATCCAATCCCCTATTTTTTTTTTTTTTTGCGGTACGCGGGCCTCTCACCGCTGTGGCCTCTCCCGTTGCGGAGCACAGGCTCTGGACGTGCAGGCTCAGCGGCCATGGCTCACGGGCCCAGCCGCTCCGTGGCATGTGGGATCCTCCCGGACCGGGGCATGAACCCGTGTCCCCTGCATCGGCAGGCGGACCCTCAAACACCGCGCCACCAGGGAAGCCCCCAATCCCCTATTTTTATATCTAAGCAAATTCAGGCAAAGAGAAAAACCTAAAATCTGAGTCTTCATCTAGGAGAATGACCCCTCATTTTTCTTCCAAGTGCTTGAAAAGGGAGTTTGCATTCACTTGGCCAGTCTCCTAACAAGACTTCTTCCTGGTACTTGAAATATTTATTTGTTCTTGCACATTGATTGCTATGCAACACAGACCAGCATTAGTTTTATTTTGCGGGTCAGGAAGCTAACATGGCGATACGAGGAACTGGTTGTCAGGACCGACACATGCAGAGTTATCTGTATCTAGTCCAAAAGCAAATATCAAATATTTAAAAGACAACAGTGGTCCCCATGAATCTCCCTCCTTTGCAAACCGCTTTGGAACAGCTGTGATGAGTACTCTGCTGGGTGTGGGGTGCAACAGTGAATGAGGGACAAAGGTTCCTGCCTTGAAAACGCTCACAATCCATGGAGGAAACAAACCTACGGCAACAAAAAATTAACTGAGGTCAGAAGTATAGCCTAAATGCCATGGTACCCCAGAGAACTCCCTCTCTGGGCTGTGGGAAGGGGAGGGAAAGATGATGATGAGGCCCGAAGGTGGGTGTGGGGGTGTCAGTGACATTTCAGGCAGGCAAAGCAGCAAGGAGGGATGAATGCTGGTGAGCCCGGTGTGTATGCAGGACCCGGGGGAAAGCGATGCTAGAAAAATTGTCTGGGGTCAGAACGCCCAGGTCCCATGAAGGATTTGGGGCGTGTGTGCGCGTGTGCACGTGTGTGTGTCTGTGTCAAAAAGCATTTTCTGAACAGAGGAGTCACTTGAACACCTGGAAAGGAGGGATGGTGCTGATGTGAAGGGAGGGCAGGAGTGGTATTAACCTAGAGACAGGGAAGCCACCTGGGCGCCACAGAGGAGCCTGATACAGCAAGTGCAGGAGCGACGAGGAGAGTCCAGCACCCACACACGCTGACCCAACCCCTCCTACCTGCTGGCTCCTCACCACCCGACCCCCGCGTGCATTTCTCTCAGCTTCTCTCCCCCAAGGCCCTTCGCAGAAGGGACCCCGGGGCTGCCTGGCTCTCGGGATGCACCCAGGATTCTGGGGGCGGCCCCGAGGATTCACACCTCCTGCCCTCCCACCGCAGGGTAATCAGACAGGTGGCTCCTCTAGCGGTCAAGTTACCATCTTTGACCTCGAATCCACTGACGTGGAGCAGAAGCCCTCACAAATGAAAGAAGAGACTTGGTAGGACAGCAAGAATACGAAAGGATGGGGCAGAAAACCATCTGAGCAGCGGTTCTGTCAAGGCAACTATTTCTAATAGCATGCCATCGACATCAGTTCTCTGTATCATCCCTGACAAAATTTCTGTTTAAATGATACTAGATACAAACTAGATTTTAACCTCCTAACCCTCGGTCTTGAGTCATCTAGTGCTACAATGTATTATAATTTCTTCCACAAATTTTGTGTATTAATAGGAATTGTGATCTGAGTAACTGAAGACAGGTGTCGAGTAAAAACAGCCTGGCTCTTACCTGGACTGTAATTCCATTTATTTCCATGTATGGGAATTTGAAACTGAGACTCACTTTATATTTCTCGCCTCTAATCTTCCTCCAGTTCCTATTTTCTCTTCACCTTTACCTTCAAAGATAAGGCCAAGAGTGTTACATTCACGTGATGGGACCAGCTGTTCTCCACCACAGGGAACGCCCTGATACTAGCTGTGCTTTCCTTGAGTGGCAGGGAGTTTATGACTGTTGTCCTCTGCCCACAACGAGCCCAACTCCATGTAAAGGAAAGACTGATTGTGTTACCCTTGTAACATCATGGTAGATCATGGTAGAGGCTTAGTGAGTGACTTGCGCTTTGGTAGGGAGATGACACAGACACACAGGTAGGACCTAAGAAGGTGTATGGAGTGAGTTGGACAGCCCTACCCTGCCCAGGCCTCCACCCCCCTCCTCTAGCCACATCTGGATGAACAGGCACGGGGCTACAGAAGGTCCAGCTGTCTAAACATGGCCTGGCATAACCTAGGCCAATCACTTTCTCACCCACAGGAATTTGAACTAAAAAACGTGGAGAATTTGACAAGTGGAGTTAAAGGAGGCCATGATTTTGAGTCAGGATCAGAGCGGCTCAAACTGTATGTGCTAGAACCACCCCTGACATGTGGTCAAACTCAGTAACTAGCTGAATGAATGAGTGAGTGAATGAATGAATGAGTGAATGAATGAATGAACAAATGGAAGCCAAATGGTGAGGGAATAGAGGTCAATCCAGAGAGTGAGCTGACTGGGACAGATCGATGGGGCGATACAAGCACACAAAGAAAACCAGTCCCCCAGCTGCTCGACTCTCCAGGTCACCTGTATTCTTACAAAACAGGGCTTCCATTCTTTGCAACCAAAGGGCTTGAATATAAGACAAAAAAAAAAAAAGAAAAATGTGTTTATGAGCAGGGGTCAAATATCATACAGATACAATATGTTAAACTACTGGATGATTCAGAGGAGAGGATTGAAAAAAAATCAAAGTCAAGTTGATTAGAGGTGAATTTTGACCTGCATTGATTTTTCTTTTCTTTTCTTTCCTCTTTTTTTTTTTTTGGTTTCACAGGGGAATTCTAAGAAACCTTTATTTTTAAAAAAAATTTTTATTGCTGGATAGTTGATTTACAATGTTGTGTTACCTTCTGCTGTACAGGAAAGTGAATCAGTTACGCATATACATACATCCACTCTTTTTTAGATTCTTTCCCATGATATCACTTATATATGGAATCTAAAAAAAAATGGCACAAATGAACTTATGTATCGATTTTTCTATTGACTCAAAGCAAGATCTATATATTGTTACAGCAATCTTCTTTATATAGTATAATTGTATTTTCTCTGAAAAATAGTTTTAAGAATTTTCATGATGCAGTGAGGTGGGGAGAGGGGTGGGAGAGAGAAGAAATGGATGTTTGTTCTGAAATACTATAGTTGTAGATTTAAATGTAAATTTAAGATCCAGAAAGATAGTCCACCAAACTGTTAAGAGTGATATCCCTGGGGAATGGGTGAGTTGGGGCAGAGGGGTTTTTGCGTTGTTTTTTAAATTAATATTTGCATAGTTGGAATATTTCACAAGCACAAAAATTAGAAAATAATTTTAGACTAATAAAAGTCAATTGGGGGAGCTTCCCTGGTGGCACAGTGCTTGAGAATCTGCCTGCTAATGCAGGGGACACGGGTTCGAGCCCTGGTCTGGGAGGATCCCACATGCCACCGAGCAGCTAGGCCCGTGAGCCACAACTACTGAGCCTGCGCGTCTGGAGCCTGTGCTCCACAATAAGAGAGGCCGCGATAGTGAGAGGCCCACGCACCGCGATGAAGAGTGGCCCCCACTTGCCACAACTGGAGAAAGTCCTCGCACAGAAATGAAGACCCAACACAGCAAAAATAAATAAGTTAATAAACTCCTACCCCCAACATCTTAAAAAAAAAAAAAAATTAAAAAGTCAATTGGGGCTTCCCTGGTGGCACAGTTGTTGAGAGTCTGCCTGCCGATGCAGGGGACGTGGGTTCGTGCCCCGGTCCGGGAAGATCCCACGTGCCGCGGAGCGGCTGGGCCCGTGAGCCATGGCCGCTGAGCCTGCGCGTCTGGAGCCTGTGCTCCGCAACGGGAGAGGCCACAACAGTGAGAGGCCCGCGTACCACAAAAAAAAAAAAAAAAGTCAATTGAACAAAGAAATCCCAGCTTAATAAAAATGTTGTGCTCTATCTTTTAGAATCTTCCCTCCACAAATTTGTTTTCCCTCACTTCCAAGCAAAATGAACAAATTTCAGTCCCACTTATCCCTGCAGTGGCTGTAGTTAATAGCAGTGAAATAGCCAAGAGGCAAGCAGGAGATGGGGGAATGCCCTGAAGAACTGTTTCCTCCCTGGGCAGTTAGGGTTGAATTTGAGTGTCTTCTGACCTCACAGGACAGTGTGAATAAGTGTAGTCTTCACCCTTCAGCCTCAGATTAAGGGTTTTAGCCTCCGTGAAACCTTTCCTTACTCTCCTTCTCCAAGTAGAAGCGAGTATTTCCTCCTGTATGTAAAATAGCTTTCAAATACTCCCACTGGAGCACTTGTCTCCCTACAATGTTTGCACACTGGTTTCCCTACAAAACCACAAGCTCCTTGAAGGCAGAGAACATCTGCTTTCATCTTTGTACCATCATTTCTAAGCACAATGCCTGGCACATAATAGGCCCTTAGTACATACTTGGGAAAGGAAGAAATGAACAGATGAAGGGTAAGAGAAGTGGGGGGCAGCGGGGAGAATGTGCTAGGCTGTGAAAATGGCTAACTCGTCTTTCATTCCAAGAGAATG